CGTGCTTGAGCACTGTCAGGGCCAAGGGCCGGAGGCGTATGAGCCACGGGGACCTGCAGGGTATCGGCCTCGCAAGGGCTACATTGACGGGCACTACATCGCCGCGGCTGCGGAACTCAAGCGTCTCAACAGATCCACGACAATCCTCTACTATCAAAACATGGACGCGGCTCTCCCCTTCTTTCGATACTCTTCCAACATCGCTATGCATCCCAAATGGCGTGTCTCGGGACGTGGCAGCACGGGAGGCAGCATGTTTCCAAACCTAACAACCTACATCTGGGACCACAGTAACGACGAGGTACAGCGGACGTTCCTCAGCACGTTCCTCAACCTGACCGACGCTGGGAGCCCGCTGGACGGCACCTTTGTGGACACGGCCGAGGGCGAGGCACCTGCCGGCCGTGCCGAAATCCTGGCACGCATGCAGAGCATGCGACCAAACAAGCTGGTCGGATTCCACACCGCCGACATCCCATCCACCTACTCGCTGACACAGATTTACAACTTTGACGCGTCCGAGAGCAAGATTGATTGGCTGCGGCGCATCGCAACATCGCCCACCATAGCGCTGGTGCATGCGCAGACCGCCTTTGGCACTTGCGAGCAGTGCGGCCACGTGCACTCCGCCCTCGCCGCCTTCCTGATCGGCGCCGGAGAGCGGTCCTACTTTGCTTTCTCGGCCATCGGCGACGCGGGCGGGCCGGGTTCGGCAGGATGGGAATTCTGCGCCCCTCACTCGCCCGCCGACCCGATCTTTCCAACCTGGTGCACTGGTATGGGTTGGAGCGATGACTTTCTGCGCCCCCTCGGGCCGCCCCTCGCGGACGCCGAGAGGTCCACGGGCGGAATCTGGCGTCGCCGTTTCGCCACGGGCACCAACGTGAGCGTCGACACTGGAAGGGGCGAGTGTCGGATCGATTGGGCCGTCGGACCCGCAACTGTTTGCGCTCCGTTCGTGACGGTCGACTGGTAGAAGAAGGGCTCACGCTTTTGCAAATTCGTTTTTGCTAGCCTGGTGTCTTTCTTCCCGTCGGCTGTGAATGCGCGGTGACCCGGTGTCGGCTGTCGGACTTTTTTTAGACCAGGCGGTGACCACCCGCGCTCCCGCGGCGCCCGACGATTTGCTTCTACTTTCTGCACCAGGTGGAGCGAGACTCGGCGGCCAGCGCCGCGGTGGACCGGGGTCCGGGGCGTCGGCAGCGCGGCGCTGCGCCGGCGCGCGGCAGCGCCACACACCACAGCCTGCCCGGGCCTGCGACATTGGGGGGAGCCTCCTGGAGCGCTGCGGAGGACGGAAGGCGCATCGGAGAGCGTTGGCTGAAATAAATTCTTTTTTCGTGCCGGCCGCTCTTTTCCTGCTTTTGTGTTTCTTTTGTTCTTGTTGTGTGTGCTAGTAAAGAAAGAAAGAAAGAAAACGGACAACCCAAAGAAAGAAAGAAAAGAAAGAAAACAGACAACCCAAGGGAGGGATGGGAGGACGGCACGCCGCCACCACACAGGGATTTTAAGGAGAGGTGTGTGGTGCGCTATCCGTCGCCCACCCTAGGGACAACCCAAGGGAGATGGGATGACCCGCCACCAGTTTTTTTTCAGCACCGGCGCGCGCTCCCGGACTTCGTGTGCGTCTGTGTGCCTGTGTGCCTCCCGATGCCAACCGCCCCGGCCGACTCCACCCTCGTCTCAAAGTGCGCTGCCTTCGACGCCTTTTCCGCCGGCAAGCGGCCGGCAGGCGGCAACGTCGTCCGCGGCGTCCGCTGGTCGCCCGATGGCTCGTGCCTGCTCACCGCGAGCGAGGACTGCGCGCTGCGCGTCTTCCACCTTCCGAGCGAGGTGGCGCACGATGCGTACGCCACCACCTGCGCCGCGGTGGAGGCCGAGCGCGGCGACGGCAGCGGCGGCGGCGACGGCGCTGCCACGGCGAGCGAAAACGGCAACGGCGCGGTGACGGGCGGAGGCGGTGGCGACTCGGAAGAGGAGCTGAGGCCGGCGCTGCGGATCGACGAGGGCGAGTCCGTGTACGACTACGCGTGGTACCCGCTAATGTCTGCCCACGACCCGATGACGTGCGGCTCGCCCCTTTTGCCACGAGCCTTTGCCACGAGCCTTTGCCCCTCCAAGCCTCTCCCCTCCGTGACGGCGTCCGCGACACCTCGTGGACACGTCCGGTAGGTGCTGCCTGCTCAGCACAAGCCGCGGCCGGCCGGTGCACCTGTGGGACGCCGTCAGCGGGACGCTGCGCGCCTCGTACGTCGGCTTCAACCATCTCGACGAGGTGGACGCCGCCAACTCGGTCGTCTTCGAGCCGTCGGGCCGCTTCATCTACGCGGGGTA